ATTTTTATGAACTTCTATTTGGACTTCAACTTCCATCCAGATAGGTTCATGAAAATCCCAAATAAAAATTTTATCACCTAGCAACAAATATCACTGAATTTCAGTGATAGCAGAATAAAAACAAGGTAATCTAAGACTAAAGCTAAACAAATACTAACTAGAATAGTACACATACATAACTTCCAGTAAGGGGTGTACTGGCTTCAAATGTAGTGTTCACACAAAAAACAACGTGAAGGAATCTCCTTCACTTGCAGAAACAAAGCTGGACTGAATTCCATCCAAATCTTTTACTTTTCAATTTAAATGCTAATTGAAATCAATTCATCCTGAACGGAAAGAAGCAAACCTGCAGGAAAGAATAAAGAAAAACAAGCACTGGCAGGCTAGCGGATTTTTATAAAGCGATCCTACAATTCAGGAAGTACTGTCCCGAAAGACACACGGCCGACCGCCCCGGTATTGCAGCCACCTCCATCATTAAAGGATGCAGACCCTTATTTACTTGGGCTGAAGAGTTTCACCTTCTGGAATTGAAAGCACTTTCTTCAAGCATGCTCCTGCTAGATCATCAAAAAGGATTATGTGCTGTCGTTCCACAGAAGGAGAAGATTAAGTTCTCCCAGACAACTACCAAGTACATACCATGCAGGGGCCAGGTCTGAGGAACCGCAGCGATGCTAAACAAGTCTGCTCTGCAAAATTGGCGTGTGAGTTGGCCCTTCCTCCGGCTGTCAGGTCACGTCCCTCTGCCTACGGCTGCATGTTTCTACCCAGCATTTCAGCGATGGACATATGCACAGTAGCTGTATTTTACTTTGCATGAGCAGACCATCTGCTCGGCGTAAACACAGGCTAGCAGATACTCCCTGGAAGATTTGCATGCACGCACAGCGGGACAGAGCTGGATTTCCTTACGCCTAGTACCCTCGCTAGAGGTGCTGCTCTAGTGTCACCACCAAATCCTTGTTTGCAACTTTGGTGTGGACAGTCCTCAAATCCCAGCAAGACAAGATTGCCAGGAAAAAAAAAAAAAAATTCAATGTCACCTGGTATCCCCTCTCACTTGTAAATAAATAGGATCAAATAAAGGCCAGACAGAATTTTAAGAGCTACTCAAAATGCAGGACAGGCACACGTTTAGCTGTGACTGAGCAACACCGTACTCAAAACAGACACAAACTCTGCTATTGTCCAGGGAGTACCGCTTCAAGAGCGCCAGTGGGAGTTTTCACAGCTGTAAGTCTCTCTACCTTGCACCATCTGGCACTGGGGATTTGATTTACATTAAACCATTCAATCTGAACCAGCCAAAGGTCTTAATTCCAACAAAACAGTCAAGATTTCCCTTCTGCATTTCACTTTAAGCTTACTGCATTTTTAGGTTACTGGTCTCGTAGGGAATGTTCCACACAGACACCCTTGTTACCAAGATCCTTTTATTTAATACAATAAAATTGCGACTGGATTTGAAAACATCATGAATTCATTACTAAGAATCTCAAAGAGGTTCTTCTAGGACTTAGGGCAACATGATCAAAGCAATAGGAGCCAAATTTTTAAAGATATTTAAATATTTAGCTTGATATCACCTGGGTACTACTTCAAGTCTGGCCATAGAATTAAAAAAAAAAAAAATATAGGTTGGAAGGACCCTTCGGAGGTCATCTAATTTAACCCAACTTAGATCAGGTTGCTCAGGCCCACAGTCCCACGTAACGTCAGCAAGGAGCAAATCTCTTCACCCTGCCTGGGCACAGACAAGTTCCTTTGCACCCAGAGGTGCAACGGGAATGCTGGGTGTTAAACGTGCTGCCTGAAGCTCTGCTACGCGTGCAAGACAAGCACACCTCTATATGCTATTCATTACACTATTTATTCCATTTAATGCTCCTGCTCCTTCCAGGAATCCCATGCAGGTTCATTTAGGACAAGCAATAAATAAACCCCCGAAGATGTGGTTCTCCTCGTTTCTGGTAAGTTATGCAAACCGATGGAGCTTGGGGTTCGCAGTCACGAGCAGAATGGTGATCGTTCCACCTTCATTCCTGTACCATTCATCACATCCCATAGGAGTGCTGCCCAAAACTGCCATCACTTAATTCCCTACATTAGCAGAAGCAGGTGCTTGGAGCAAGCAAGGACAAAATGACTGATTTTGTGCCTTGGTCTGAAAATAATGTAATAATATGGCTGGAAAGAGGCTCTGATGCTAGATTACACCATTTCACAATAGCCTATCACAGCTTTTGATCCAGGCATTACATTTTCCTGTAATTTCTACCAGAACCACAAGCACTGAGCCCCTCGTGGACCCCTGGTCACTCGGGGACCCTTTGAGCTCCTCATTATTTCAACTCCTTCAGCAGCAGCTTCCATCTGTGCACAAAACTGCCCTCCTCAACCGGCTCCCCCTGCACAAACTCCTAGGCTGCCGCATCCTGGAGGTACGCTGTCAGTCCAGCCCCGCTGGGCCGATCCCGATTGCCTCCAAAGCACACCCTGAGCACTAATGAGCTTCTCTCAGGGACATCACTCCGGAGAAAGGAGTTTGTCAGTGCCCAGACCTTCTCCAGTAAATCTATCCAGGGCAGCGTGCCTGAGCAGCACAACCCTGCAGGGGAAGAGGGCAAAAACCAGTGAGCTTGGGGAAGAAGGTATTGTAAAGAAAGCTGAATTTATCTCAACAGCAGGGAGACTGGAGGGTAACCTTGGATTTAGATAAGACAGTTGCACCAGTGAATTGTCAGGTAGCCTGAGACAATTAACAATGTCTTCCTGAGCTAGCCAGACCAGCATGGGGGGAGCACATACAAGGCTGAGCCCAAAGTATAAAAACCAGACAATTAATAAAGTAAACTCTGAAGAAAGCGAAGAGCCTGAGCTGGCTTCAATCTGCATATTCCTTCCTAGTGACTCTGGGCACCGGGCATCGTAAAGGCAAGGCTACAGAGATCAGTAACCGGCATCACATTTGTATTTGGATTCAACTGTACATTGCAATTGCTCTATTATGCTTGTGCTGCGATTTCAGTATGGTGCTGTACACCCTGCTAAATCAAAATCCCATGTAACAGCAAATATACCAAACAAGTACATTTGATATTAAACCCTCCTCATGTGGAATATCTACAAGAGCCTGGCCAGAGCACACTGGACTTGGACAGCCAGGAAGGCAGCACTGTCGCATGCAACCTTGGAAAACCCGTCCTGGCATTCAGCCCTCCTCCCAAAGGCTCACCCCATGCTGCTCAGCCAGTTTTCCCTCAGCTCTGAAATTCTGAAAACATCATTCTAAGAAATGTACTTGCACCTTGTCCCCAGCTCCGCACTTCATTTTCTGTTATGCCCAGATTGAGGTGTGCGCGCCACAGGACTAAAAGCCTGAAAGCCAAAAACACAGAATCACAATAATTAACACTTTGGCCTCCTGCCATGAAAGATCAGCGTTTGAAACAGACCCCAAAAGGATATTAAGAAATGAGAGGGCAAAACGTAGTTCTACCTGCGCAGCAAGCAGCAGTTATTTATTTGAAATGAAAACACTTACTGTTAGCGAAATCCTTTTATACTTGTATCCCTGATCCTCCGCACACTTCAAGTTTGGCTTGTCAGCCTTCCAGCAGCAGCAATATTAATGGTTTGCATGCGAGTCGCTTTCTGGGCCGTTCTTTTACCCTACAGCTCTAGATACATTACCGAAGCCGTAGATTCCACAGAAGCTGGTACCCGAATAAAGTGTCTCTAAAGCATACTGCAAAAGGCACGGCTTCCTGCTGCCCCAGATACAGCAGTTCCTCCAGGGAACAGCGAGCAAGAATCTCTAAGAGGGTTTTGCTGTTAAATCTTTTCTTGTTAAGACGCGGAAGAGAAAATCTGCTTTGTGACAGTAGCACTGCGGGGAGTTAAAACCGAAGGGTCACAATAGAGGCACATTTACAACAAGAAGCTCGCTGGAGGAGAGATCTAATACCTTGCAAATGCTGAACACGGCAAGTTTCCAATAGGCAGCTGTTACTCCAGAAAACAAAAAAAAAACCTCAAACAACTCATCATACATGCAGGCCCGCTGCCATTTCCGAATTAGAATAAACAGCTACACAGAAAACGTATGCAGTGACTAAAAAAAAACCAGCCAGAAATTCAGCCTAGCGTAGTACGAATACTGGGAGAGGGGAATTTGAGCCTGCCTCCATTTCCTAGATGCTGTCCTCATTACTGAGCAGCAACACCACAGCTGTCGATAAAAACCCAGTCCCTCTGCCTACACCATCACAGGAGACACTAACAAGTAACTTTTTAGAGGCTATTGCAAACAAGGTGCTTTAAAAAAAAAAAAAAAAAAAAAAAAAAAAAATAAAAAACAAAAAAAACCCACACACAAAAAACCCCCCCAAACTTGAAAAGAACATTCCTTCCCTAACTGGCAGACGAGTGCCCCAAACTTACTCCTCTCCAAGATACCAAATTTAAAATTTGAGCCAACATGGCTCCTCTTCCTTTTCTCAAGCAGTGTTCTTCAGTATGGGACACTCAGATTCGACTCAAAAAACCCACTGCGTCAAGCTAGTAGCATTTAAAATGGAATCTGGCACAGACGTCTGCTCTTACATCCACAGTAATAACTTGAAAAGGAGAAATAAAAAACTTAATTAAAAGCTAACGTTCGAAAACTGAGCAGCTCCTGTTCCTAACCCTTCTGTGAGGAGGAAAGTGTGGGTGGGGGGACGTAGTATGAGACATGAAGCTCAAAGTCTTTTTGCAACACCCTCCACTGAAGCCATCAGACATGCTGTGACTGGTTAAAAAAACCAGGAAGACAGGAGCGATACCACTCTAATAACGATGTTAGATAGCATTTAACTTTTAAGTTTGTAGAAGAGGTGCTCAGCTAAGACAGAACCTTCTCTGCTGCTACACTGAACAGCTTAGCCGGAATTTAAAAGCATCTTAACATCAGAGGAACAAAGTATAAACAGCAGCCGCTGGTACCAACTCACCAAAAGGAATTCCTGTCCGTTACCAAAGGCTGCCTCCAGCCCAGCAGCCTGTGATGAGCAGGAAGGCAGAGCCACAAGGACTTCTGAATCAGCTCTGCAAACCACTCACAGGGAAGTCCCCGGGGTTGGTAGCTGTCATTCCTCTGGTATTTACAACAATGCTGTCATCAAGAGTCAGCCTTTGCAACCGCAGTTTCACCTGCTCACTCCATAAATGACGCTGGGAGTGGCTGGGGTGGGGGACAGAGAGGTGAAAAACAGCCAGGAAGAGAGAGGGTGGCTTCTCGGGTGGCAGGACCAGTTCACATCAGACAATGGGCTAAGATACCAGCACCAACTCACTGACTGGCTTATCAGACTATACTGGCCCAATACCTATATTCATAACACACACACACCCCCCCAAAAAAACCCCAAACACTCCCACGTACAAATAAAGATCATCCATATTGGGAAAGAAAGAACAACAGACATGATAGATGTACCAGACTTCATTAACAAAAATAAATACACATGCTATGTTAAAGGCTCCTTGAGCTTCCAGCTACAAAAGACCATTTTTCTGAATTCCACTGGCAGTTCCCACAACATTTCATGACATCTGAGGCCAGCCCAGATACCAAAAGACACAATGCTACCCCTCTGGTTTTGGAAAAGAAATTAAAATGATGAATGCCACAGGTTTCAAGAGGGCATTCACAGGACAGCCACTTACCAATTACTCAGACATGTGAAGTCAACTTGCTTTAAATACATCAAGGAACCAGCCGAGAGAAACAAGAGCAGCAGCTACTTCAAAGAACAAAGCCACGTATTAGAACAATGCTTACACGCTACTGTATGTTTCTTTATTTGCTACCAGGCATATGAGGACTAATTAAAGCACCAGTTTACAAGACATAACAGAACTACTGTTCTAAATCTGCAAGATTAAAACCCTCTACTTTAAAAGCCTGGTACCAGGCAGTACCTGGTATCACTGCTTCTGATGGGGGTGAGGCTGCTCAAACGTTACTTTGTAAATTAAGAGTTTGCACTCTAATTACAACACGTTGCGAGAGAGACACCAGCATGTTTTAAAAGAACTTCACTTCTGAGAAATCTGCTAGAGTTTATTCATACCGTAATTTATTTATTAAAAAAACAAACAAACAAACAAAAAACACCCACACCATGCACTAGCACTCCCCCAGAAGCTACCAGGAGAGTCCCTTGCAAAGGCTTTTGAGGAAACTAAGCTGGACTACGGAGACTCTATAAGGCAGATTAAAAGAAAGGAAGCAAATCTAGGATGAATCCATAGTGAAAAGAGACTCCAGCTATAATCCGTTCAAGAGATTCATAAAAACTAGATGGGAGAAGAGATGAATAGATACACAACAAAAATTGATGATCTTTTGGGATAGGGCACAGATTTCCAGGACAGTAAAATCTAAAATTGTTCACAGTTGTAGAAAGCTCTCCTGATGCCAAAAGACTAATAAAATGGCAGATAAAAGTCTGTAAGTTAGTAGATAAAAGAGGAATGCAGGTTGGAGAAAGGCAAATGTTTCCAATTTGTGTTAACCACTGCAAGGGGAAAAAATCCACGCTCTCACAGCAAGTTCCCTGAGAACATCAGCTTGCTGCTCAGCAGCAGTCCAAATAGGACACCAGGAATCATCAGAACAAGCAGAGGGAGAAAAAACCGCACATCTAGAAAGCCTTTGGTCTGAGCTTGCGTGCTCCTCCTTATGTTACAGATATTTAATGCCTCTATATATCTGTCGATAAAAGGTCAGACCCTCAGCCACATTCACGCGGTTCTCAAGAGCAGAGATAATAGCTGCAACGAGGGGCCAAAGGCTCAGGGTTGCTCACTGCGGTCACCTACCACAGCCTAGCTGATACTGGGAGGTGCCATAGTGCAACAAAGGCAGGATAAACTACAACAGATACAGAGCAGGCAAACAAAGTGCAAACTCAACAGAGTAAACATAATTAAACCAGCTTACTACAGGAGATTATAAGAATTTGAAGCCTATAATCAAGAGCGAATGCCTAAGATGCATGCTTTAGTTCGTGGCTGGACACAGCAATCCCAGTGGTGAGGATACCAGCCTTAGTCACTCTGACAGGACGCGGAAAGAAGCAGCCTCGGCAGTCTGAAACTCTCCAAGACGCTATTTGCACCATATAGATAGCGTAGGTATAACCCACCACTGTGCAGCTCGAGGAATTGGGCACAGCAGCTGGAATGCTTCTGGCAAAGCCACCGTGCCTGGCGGGAAGCGCTGTGCCGCAAAGCCTTTGGGACAACATTTAAGGCTCCATTTGATTAGCTGCAATTAAAACCTCAAGATATCCCCTGCAAAAACACTCGGCTGTCAGCCTGCTTAGATACAAAGTAGAGCAACGACTTTCTCTCTGCTGAAACTCTTCCAGGCTGGTTCAAACGGACGCAACGCTTCCGTAGGGAAAAGCACGGAATAGCTAAGCTGCTGTGGTGTGTGTCAGGTTCGAGCCAGCCGGGGCGGTTTGTGAGCCATGACCCAGGCTGTCAGGAGGGGACAGAG